TCATTCATCGCAGTCTCACATTAAATTCTCATAAACAAAGTGAGGTGAGAAGGATCTATATTTCAATAAATGATAGAATCATGTCCAGGACCTTATTGAAACAATGACAAGATAAAAATGTACTCCTGGCATTCTAATGTTTCCTTTGGTAAATTTTAATTTTCTTTCTTATAGTCTTAGATATTTTTAATTATTACAGGAGAATTGTCAATAACTATTGCTCTATCTTGGGGGACAAGAGGAGGGAGGCAAGGAGAAGACTTCTCCAGCATCAAGATAGATTCATTCAGCAACCTCATCCCAAATACATGTTTCCCACACCCACTCCATTGGAGGTCTCCGTCCTCTCTTTCCTATGGGTTCATGGGTGTCTTGGGAGTATTGTATGCATTAGGTAACAAAGTGGGGTAACGGGGGTGATCTGCAGGGTTTCCTAGGCAACCGCAGAGGAGGATGCTGAAGGAATGAGGTACTCATTGACCACTTCAGGGCAGATATCAGAATCCCCTGGTGCAGGTGATGAAGATATTCCTTCGGATGAAAGCAGGGTAAACTACTTTCTTTTTTTAAAAAAAAATATATTTTATTGATTTTTTACAGAGAGGAAGGGAGAGGGATAGAGAGCTAGAAACATCGATGAGAGAGAAACATCGATCAGCTGCCTCCTGCACGCCCCCTAGTGAGGATGTGCCCGCAACCAAGGTACATGCTCTTGACCGGAATCGAACCTGGACCCTTGAGTCCGCAGTCCAACGCTCTATCCACTGAGCCAAACCGGTTCGGCGAAACTACTTCCTGATGGCTCAGTTTTAAAACAGTTCTTAGGCCATGCTAAATTGCCCTCGTGTGGTCCTTTCTACCTGTGCAATGCACACTCTCCTCTTGAGCAACATTTCCTGGCTCCCACCCCTGGCTTCCTCTTTCCTCCATTCTCTAGTGTCCTTCTAGTCTTAGATAAAACCTGTCCTTCCTTTTAGCTCCTTGCCTTCTCTCAAAGGATAGTTCTCTTCCTAAACCCTAGTCTTGCGTTCCTTCATGATAGACTGCCCCCCTGGGGGTGGAAGTGTAGGAAAATTCAATATTGTAATTTTTCACTCGTTATACAATCATAAAATGAGGGTGCAAAATGTAAGTATTCTGTTGCGGTCAGAGAAAAGGGGTCTGCCTAGTTTCTTTTGGCTTCCTTGCTTTATCATCATGAAGGTGTTTTAGTGTTTCACCGACCCATTCTTTCCTTGGGTCTCTAGGGGAAGGAAACAGGTAATGGTCAATTGACTAAAAGTAATATGGAGCAATAAATCAGAACTACTGAAATGCTATGGCTCCCCAGATATTCTTGGGTGACATCAAACAGTAGGATCAAATAAGAGAGAGTTGGCTACCCATTGTATTCAACATAAATTATGACAGGTAAATTTTCATTAATTATAGAACTGATGATACTCTAAAAGAAGTTGGATATAAATCAGGTTTTATTTAATTGACAATAATCCTCTGTTATGGAATATGGTGATATATCAGGTACTTGGACTCCAGCCTGCTGAAACTCACAGGTTCCTGGAATGGCTGTAGATCAGGTTAAGTATCAGTTAGTTATTGCTACATACAAAATACTCTCAACTCGGTGGCTTCCAACAAACATCATTTGTTATTTCTCCCAAATCAAGGGCGAACTGCTTGTGGGTTTCCGGGGGCTCCTGCTCTAGGCTGACTTACCTTGAATAGATCTGTTCCATGTGTCATTTATCCTCCTTCTGAGACCAGCAGACATGCCGGGGTATGTTTTTCTCATGGAAATGTCAGGAATCCAAGAAAGCAAGCATAAATACTAACAGCTCTTGAGACCTAGGCTAGGAACTAGTCTACTGTTTTTGGCAATCACCTCACTCAACTGGCCAAAGCACATCAAATAGTCAAACTCAGATTCAAAGGTGGAGGGGAGATTCTGCCTCTTTAGTGAAAGAAACTACAACGTCACATGGTAAAGGATGTGGATACAGGATGGATAAAGAATTAGGGTAATTATATGATTTCCACAGCTATCTACTAGCTATAATAAAAAAAACACACCAAAGATTAAATGAGCTGTAGGATTTAGTTGATTCATTGCCTGGAAGAAAAGAGCTCTATTATTGTGACATATATAGACATATAGTGACATATATAGACAAAATCATAAATTTAAGGGGAAAGAGAGGGAA